GTACAAGGTAAATGATAGGCACCACACAAGCAAGGCTGCTCTCCAACCGGACCGATCACCGCTGATTGCGAAATTAAACGATTGACTGTGCAGAAGATAGCATGAGGCTCTCCAAGCAACACTTAAGAGTTTCTCAAAGGACAGTCGCTAAACAAGATCCTCGCACGTGGCAAAGTCTAGGCCTTTGACATCCATCAAAGTTCGGACGCATGTTCATCTGCCGGCCTTGCAGTAGGATGGGCGAACAGCCCGTGTTTTCGAGCGAGGGATTTGGACGGAAGGCCGGGTCAGCACATGGTGCGTGTCAAGCATCGGAGGGAATACACCGGAGAGAATGCTGATGGGCAATTGACGGGACGGGACATTACTAGTCGTGATGGTTGATAACTCGATGTACCAACGGCATGGAAACCAGGGTCCACGCGTAACGGGCGACGGAAGCTACGAGGCGGTTCGGCGCGTGAAGGTTCAACGCTACCATTTGGTTCTGCTTTCCAGACGCAACGATGTCCATTGCTTTGTCTTACTCAGGAGATTCTGATAGTTGCTGCGAGATCGGTATCTTTCGCGGTCTTGGTATGCTGCCCAGAGGGTTGGGTTTCCTCCACAGCTGATTAGGTATAGCGCTGTCGCCACCCACGCGGGCCAAATCCTACCCGATAAGTCCTGCCGAGCCGCTTCGCCAGGTACGGGAATCAACTCCATTTGTAGAGGTTAACATCCCGCTTGTCCCCTACGCAGTCTGTTCTATGTAGATCCAGAGCATCACACAAGCAGTGCAATCGAGCCTTCCAGAACAGCGTAACGATCGAACCATCTGTTACTGACGCTTTACTTTGCTCCTTCGAGGAAAATATGTTCGCACAGCGAAGTTTAGTTATACTACGCACACATGCTGACGTCTCATCTGCAGGATTCAGCCACCTGCTTGAAAAGGCAATTGAGTGTTGTAGGGGCTTCACTGCCCAGACGGTAGTTGCATGAGCACAGGCTTATGGAAGGATTAGAGATTGCCATACCTTACAAAATACCTGCTTTCTTTCTTAGCAGTCTCATCCCGTACATTTCGTATTCATTTCCAGGAATAATCCCGCGAATGAGAGTTGGTTTTCAAAAATTCGCGTGCGGCAGCGCGCCGGCTCCTTGGTATGAAGGAATGGGCCGAGCTGATTAGATCCCACGCAACAGAGTCTCTAAGATGACGAGAAACTGGGAAGTTGTGTGGAATTGAGTGACTGGAGTGGAGGCCTCGTACCGGTGCATCCAGGAGCCGTCCCCATCTGCAAGTCCGCGTAGGCGAATTTCTTCCTTCGGGATTTTGAACCATTGTGTCGGTCTTTTTTGCGATGACTACTTTGATACAGGGTAGATATGTAATATTTGCCATTTGTTTCTATCCCTTGAATTCTCCTCATTTACACTGCTTTATGAACGCCTCACAGTGATCTACCCTAAGAGAACTACCCATCATTCCGCGATGGCTGATTCACCTTCCACTGAAGAATGGCCCAATCGGGGACATGAGCTCATAGTGACTGCCTCAACCATGGCCACACTCTGCACGTTAGTGGCGGGTTGGCGTATCATTGTTCGAATGCAGATGAAGCCTTGGTTGGGGATAAGCGACTGGCTTATGATTGGGGGTGTAGTATGTTGGAAGCCAGACAGTATAACATCACAAGACGACTGACATTGTACAGATTCTCAACTTTCTAGGGTGCGTACCCTATGCCGTCCTTTGTGCAAAAGGCGGCCAAGGTCGCTTGATGGCAGACCCATGGTGGCTTATACCAGGCAACACATCCAAAGAGCTGCACTTGATCTTCATCTCACAGACTCTGAATGTCTACGCAATGTTCTTGGTCAAAGCCTCGATTTGCGCATACCTCATGGCTTTGGACTTCGGACGCAGCTACCGAATTCTCATATGGGTATCGGTAGTTGTTGTAGTCATCTGCAACTTCATCATGATGTTGATATTGCACTTCGCGTACTGCCGACCCTACTACTCTCGGTGGGACTTCTCTGTGCAAGGAGAGTGCTGGCCGGAAGCGGTGAGCGAGGTGACGGCGTACGTACAGATCGCATCGAACATCTTTACAGATCTGGTAGGAAACTTGCATACTCTATTTGCGGGCAGATACTAACATACGATAGATCTATGCTGCCGGGCCGATCGTCTATCTAAGGCGCGTACAACTCAGCAAGCGGACGCAGTGGGGCGTAAGCATCGTGTTTCTGCTTGCACTTGTGTAAGTAATTCCTGTATCATTACCTGGACACAAGCGCTGATATGGGAAAGTGGAACCGGCCTTTCAGTCGCGAAAACCTTCATCACGTACAAGTTCCTGCGGTCACAGGAGATGATGTGGGACGCAATCGATTTGAGCATCTGCAGCATCAATGAGGTCTGTGTCGGCATAATCATCGCGAACCTACCACCGCTACGAAAGCACATCCTGGGCCTTTTCTCCAGAGTTCTGCCTGGAAGCTACGCCACCGGTGCTGGCAACTCGCGACAACCGAACAGCCAGTTTCACCCAAACTCTTCGCACTTCAGTTCCAGAGGGCGCACTAAGCTGGATGATAAGGATGACGACGAGAGCGAGCGGCATATATTGGAGCTCGAAGACAGGACAAAGAGTGTGAAGATCATGAAAACAACGCAAGTGAGCGTTCGAGAAGGGAATGCGCACTCGCAGACGCCATCGTTGAATGAGCATTTCTGAGATTTTGGACTCGTCTGTCTCGTGTGTAGACTCGGTTGGGTGCGGTGTTCTAGGCGTACAAGATAGCAATAGTGCGTCACCATATCTTCTACCTTTTCACTCTTGCTTACGTTCTCTCGCGACTCGTGAATTGTTTGTGGCTGGTTGGCGTATCGCTGCACTGGGCATCGGACCGACACCGGAACCCCGGGCTCTTTTGATGAGCTTTGCTTTGCTTATTTCAAGCTCGATACTGTCCAGAATACGCCCATGCCAATCTTTGTTCTCCTATGAAACAACCAAATATTCCTGTCAGTACGGCAAGGATGGGATATCCGCCAGAGGTGGTCGCTAACAAACGCTTGTTAGATGGAAACAACCCCCGTAAATCACTGTTTCGATCATGTACCAACGGACGAGCAGAAGGCTCAGCGTAAGCATCCAGCATCCCGTGTTCGTATCTAAGCTCATAGGTGAATCATGAGTCGGTGTTGCGCACATTGAACTAGAGCGATGTTCTTTCTGGGATCTCTGTAGGCGAGACAGGAGTGCGGGGATGGAACCTTCATCATCTAGCGGAGTCTGAGGGCACGCGATAGTACCTATTCCCGATGAGGAAGCAGCACCTAGGTATGTTCCTGCCCTTCGCAAATCTCAGAGTTTCGAAGCGTTCATAGGTGAGTACGAGACTTTTCGTCATGTAATCATCTTACGCTCGTCTCGCCTCGCCTCATCCTGCCCCTGCGTTTGTCTTCCACCTCCATCGCATATCCGAGCCGGAAAATACACCACGCATCGCATGGATGTAACTCATTCCCATAAGCTTCTGATGATGCACACACGCGACCAGCTAAGATTTCACAAGCCTCTGCATCTAGATCTATCTCTGTTAATTTCAATGGTTCTACCCTGCTGCGGATTTCCATTTTCACCGAACGCGAAACCTAGAGTCGGCGCACTAGGCACTTCCCCAGCATCAGCAATCCCTTCATACACAGTACAAGCAAAGCGTGCGTACTTGTCACTCCGCGCAGCCGGGTGAACGGGAATCGTGCATTTGCTAGGATACGACCCCGTTCTTCACGGCGTCGGATTTCCTCCGCCAGACACCATCCATGACGTACCCGTGGACTTTTACTGTACCGATTGGTGGAAATCCTTCAACACGACCGTTGCAGGCTACCCCATACTATCCACTCTGCACCCACAAGCCACGAAAGGAAATTATGGGGTAGAAGTCCGGTAAACCGTCGTCTGGATGGCATGTAATCTAGAGAAGGAGAAGATCGGGGGATATAGTCCCAGAGTATAAAGGTAGTGTACGTCCTTCGTCAAGTCAGACCAGGAAAGTCGGCTTCAATCATTTCATTCCATTTTCTTCAATTCCAACTCGACAGCGACGTCTTTTCTGAACCTTCAAAATGCATCTCCCCACAACACTCACCTACATCTCCCTCATCGCCACCTCAGCCTTTGCTCTCCCAAAGGCCACAAAACCCCCATACTTCATCCTCGCTGGCGACTCAACAACAGCCGTACAATCCGAGGGCGGCGGTGGCTGGGGCACCGGCTTCCTGACTACAACCCTCACAAGTGGCGCCTCAGGCGTCAACTATGGTCACAATGGCGCAACAACAGTCTCGTTCCGTCAAGGCGGTGACTGGGCGACCGTCCTCGCCTCCGCAAAGAACGCCTCAAAGAACTACACACCCTACGTGACCATCCAATTCGGCCACAACGATCAGAAACCCGACAAGAACATCAGCGCGGCACAACTTACCACCAACCTCGTCGCTTTCGTCGACGAAGCCAAGAAAGCAGGCGCCACACCCATCCTCGTCACGTCCCTGAGCCGCCGCAAGTACGGCACCGACGGAAAAATCAAGCCAGACTTGGCCGATGTAGTTGCCGCGGCGAAGAATGCGGCGGCCGAGTCGGGCGCTGATATCATTGATTTGAATGCTGCGAGTACCAAGTATTTGAATGCGATTGGTCCGGAGAAGGCGCCTACATATGACCTCAAGGCTGGTGATAGCACGCATTTGAACGCGGAGGGGAGTGTTGTGTTTGGAAACCTAGTGGCTATGCTGATCAAGAAGGAGGTACCAGCTGTGAGCAAGTACCTTAAGCCGGTTAAGGCTGTGCAGAGTGCGCTGGAGAAGGGTGTTTACATCTTCCCCAAAGTTTAGAAACGCAAGAGAAGAATGAATACGCCATATTCTTGACTTCTTTTTGTACATGTGTTATGATACAATACTAACGGTTCGTTTCCTTTGACCAAACAGAACGACGTTACTTTCCAACTTTCGATGATATACTCTCCTTGACTTCTTTGATTCCTTCTTTCGCCATGGCACCAACATCAACTGTCTTGCCATCCACACCAGCTTTCTCTTGGACACCCTGCTGCACAGCACCACCCTCTCTGTTCAAGAAAGATGGTCTGTCCTGCCAGCCATTCGCTCGCAAATAGCCAGCGGTAGCCATGCCAACGAACATGCCGCCGAAATGACTAGCATGGTCCATAGTAGAGTTACCTTTCTTCAACGCGGAGAAAATTTCAAACACGACAAACGCAGCGAACAGCATCTTGGGCCAAAACGCCACCTCGCCCTCCTTCAAGAAAGGAATCTTGATCCTCTCTTGATCGGTAAGGAGACAGTACAGCGCCGCGATGCCCCAAATGGCCGCGGACGCACCAACAGAGTGCGCGGTGATGTTTCCGCGACCAAGGTTAGCCCAGTATAAGGAGAACAAAGTACCGACAGCGCCGGCTGAAATGTACGTTCCCATGAAGACACCACGGCCAACAAGGTCGCAGCATGCAGGCCCGACTAGACACAACATCATCATGTTGGCGAGGAGATGCTCGTACTGCACGTGACTAAAGACGTTGAGGACGCTTTGGACGGCACGGGGGTAGCCGGGGACGTGCATAAAGTAGCGGGTCATGAGTGGCCAGAGGGGCATGACACGCCATGCTACTGCAACAGCAGCGTTTATGACGAGGAGCGCGCCAATAGTGGCGGTTGTTGGACTGAGGTCTGGGAACATGCGGTACGAGGGTGAAGGCGGGGCGTAGTAATGTGCGAAGCCGTAGCAGACGAGGACGGTAAGGAGGACGAAGGCAGACATGGGGTAGAGACGTTGCGCCTGTAGTATTGTCAGCAATGTACAAGGATTTGAGAAGAGGGAGAGGACAAACTCACGAGAGTGGTTTGTGCCAGCAATTCCTCTGGCGTCTTTGCATCCGTTACTTGGGCAGCCTTGTTGTATTTCTCCATCTCCTCTTTCCTCCGACTGACTTGTTCGCGGCCGAAGACATCAACATAAGCCGTTTGACCGGGCTTCATAAGCTGTGTACCAGTCGGCGTGCGCACATACTCTCCGGTCGCCAGCTTCTCTTCCATTTCCCTCTCCTTCTGCTCCTTCTCTTCTGCTATCCGTGTAATCTCCTCCAATCGCTGTCTCCTCTTCTCCTCAATGTTGAGCTCAAACTGACTCTTACCCGCATGCAGTATACCAATCTTCCGATCGTCAGCTTCCTGGCGCTGCCTCTCGGCCTCTTCCTTCTCCATCTGCTCTTTGAAAGCACGAGCGGGATCCTTGTATTTGGACTCGGTTTCGGGATCAGCCAGCCAGAGCTCATAGGCTATGCGGTTTGCCTCTTTCTCTGCCCATTCCTCTGCTGCACGCGCTTCGTCGATGGGGTATTTCTCTCGCAACCACTCCAGGCCCTTCAATGCAGTGTCCCTGCTCACGTGTGTGTATTGCTTGCCCAGGTTATCCACGCCATAGTCGGCTAGTGAGCCTGCTGTCCGTCGGTGGTGCAGTATCCGCAGAACGTTGTTGCCATCGTGGGCTGATAATCTTCGCCCAAATACGCGTTGTATGGTTGCTTCACTGACTGGACCTTCGGGCAGAGGACCTATCCTAACTGTGCGCTTGCGTGATTGGGGAATGCTCGGGTTCTGTGGCGTGTCTATAACCCTTGCCCGATAGCGGGGTGTTGAGACAAAGGAACGGCATTGCGGTCGTGAGGATCGGTGTCGCTGTAGGAGGGCTAACAAGGGCGACCTCACGGTTTGCTCGAGATGCGGTTGCGCAGTGCAGAGTCGCCGCGCGAGTGATGCGCACGTCGGGAGGAGGAGAGACATTGGGTAGCTGGATATGGGCTACCTTATGGTTGTCGTTTCACCAGCCGTGTTCGTTGGAGCCGAGCAATGCATGATACGCACGTCGTGGGGTTTGGCGCGCCACATGCATGATGCTCATCGCCAAAATGTTCCGTCGGAACTCGGACATGCACAGACACTCCCTCACCCGCTTGTTCACGCTAAACCTGCAAGCTGATCATCATTCAACTTATCTCGGATAACACATTTACAGCTTGAATCCTGGGTATATACTTCTACATGTTCGTAAGCTTGTGTTCAAGCCATCTTCCATCAACTCTTCCCGAGTGTCTTCATCTTCGCCAACACTCCCATGTTCATGCCCACGATCAGCTTGACCAACTCCCAGTCCCCATGTTCACCCACATGGTCCATAACAACAACACCCGTACTACCATCACCACTCTTTGCCCTCTTTATCCCCTTCTCTTCCCCTTCGTCTGTCACATCCGGGTGGCGGGACGTTGTGTTAGGAGCCTCCAAATGATGCCCCTCACAAAGCCATTCCTCCATACCCCTGTTGACAATTTTAGAGATAGCTCCAGGCCAACAGGATTTCTTCCAGAAGTTGCTTCCAGAGAGAAAATTAAGATACAAGGGACCTGGTGGCACTGGATTTGTGACGTCTGTTGTTATGCCAGGAATAGGGTGGACGGCAGCAGCAGAGCGCACAAGATGGTCGTTGCAATGCTGCATCTTCGTTGGAATAATGTCGGGTACCATGACCTCGCAGAAATCTTGCAGACAAAAGGTTGGTGAAGAAGATTGCGATGGGAAGACGGCGTGAGTTGCGTTATGCGGCCATGCCGTTGCATCCAGGCCACCGTTCCTACAATCCGGGCTCGAATAAGAGTTCTCAATCTGAGCTACATTGTACCGCCGCACCAAAATCAGCTTGCTTCTCACAGCTCCCAAGTACGGTATCGCGTTTTCCGTATACCAGTGACGCGCATTGGGTGTGATGTATTGCTCTTCTAGAACGCGGGCAAGGTGTTCGTCCGTTGCGCTTCCTACCCCTTCTCGTTTCAGACTTACTAGCACCGTTTCGCTAGGATTCTCTCGAAGGAAGTCATAGCATGTCTTCAAGATCGGCTCGAGGTACTTTGGCCCTGTCAGGCTGACTGGGAATGCACCGTGTACGAGGTAGAGGTCTTTCTTCGATGCATCTGTAGCATGCGTTGGCTGCACCCGTATATCCAGGAATCGAATACCGTTCTCCAGCTGTGTCTTTACATCGTGAACTTGGCAACGAACAGATGGGAGAGCTCGGTAGTGTGTGTGCGAATTGTGCGTTCCTGGGATGCTTATAGCCGATAATGGTAGGTCATCTGGCAGTGTGGACATCCAAGAAGTGTAGTCTGGAAGGTGATTGACATGAATGGAGAGATGAGGAACCGGTTTCGATGGGTGGAAGAGTGCTTTATACGTCGTTGAGGAGATTCCAGACAGTGGGGTGAAGGACTGTGTAGATTTCTGCGTGTATGAAGGGTGCGCATCGATACGATGACGTTCACCATGGGATGTCCGAACCGTGATACGAAGGGTTGGATTTGAAATAGTAGGCGTATTGCTGGACTGCTCCGAGTCTGGGAATCTTAGCGTGTACGACTCAAAGGGCTGCAACAGAATATCAAGGTCTTGATGATTGAAGCTTTGCGCATGTCCGCTGAGCTCAGGTGAAGTCGGTGCGGCGGAAGTGGAATTCTGACTGCCGAGGAAATATCCGCTTGGTTTGGACTGAAGCGTGCCTGGGTCTTCAAATCGCTCAACACGCTGAATCGTGATGCTGACGGGGGTCAAATTACGAACGGTAAGTGGCGGAGCCATAAGCGGCTATCCCTAGTTCTTGCTCGCTGAACTATGTTGAAGGCCGTAGCACTGCAAGCTTGGGATCTAAGGGCTTTCAAGACACGTTGGCGTATGTAGATGTTGGCCAGCTTAGGATGTCAATTGTAAGCACTTTCAGATCAGTAGATCTGGACCGCTAACAGTGATTGGAGATTCACACGATATGGAGTTGGAGTTGAAGGGTAAGCTCCTGTTTCGCTAGAACGTAGCTGCGTGAAAGACGAAAGGTTGAGAAGTTGTCGTCAGCCAATGTGCACAGGCCGAACCAAGCGCCAAGGCTCCATATCGGGAAGGCGCGGATTGGAGGCGTGATATTTGAGGCACAACCTAAGGCCCATCAGTGCCACGCATATTTCGAGGTCAAAAATCCAAAGTATTACAAGGTTTCATTGAGCTGTTGAAATTATTACATAGGAACCGGTTCATCATCAACAGATCAACACATCATAACAGCAAACATCTCGTATTCGTCAAGGATATCAATCGAGGCCTAAGCCATAAACTATCATTTGAATCACTATCTCGGATGTAAAAAGGGCGCCACAGACCCGAACCTGCCTTTGTTGGGGGTCCTCCTGGGTATCATGCAGTCAAAAGGTAAGATATGCATGTCCAACAACGAGAAAAGTACTGGTACATCTGTTATCTCATCCGTACACTCCAGCAAACGCCTCTTATGCAATGTATTGCGCATACGAATGCGACGTCTGCTTGTGAAAGGTAATTCACTAACGCCGAAAAATGCAATGGTTGCTAGCAAAGAAGGTGATTCATGTTTTTGGGCACAGCGCCTGTCGGGCTCTCAATAAGGTGCCGCTGTGCGCTGCCGGATGATCCGGGTCGAGAATCGCAATCTGTCGCTGTCGCATGCGCGAAAGCCATCTCCTCCTGAATTTGAGCACTAGGCGTACGAGCCTTTGTTGGAGTAAAGCTCTCCATCGGTGGTCGCTTTGGTGAGTGATTGTTGCGGCCGTCCGCATTGGATACGGGTTGGAAGACAAAATCTGACTTTATCTTGGTCAGCCTTGTTGGCTTCCTTGGAGTAGACGGATTTCGTCGCTTCTCGACATGAATCACGTCGCTGATGTTTTCTTTCGGATCTAGTTTAGTTGACGAGTTGAACTTTGACTCGATGATGGTGAGGGCCGGATCGGATCCTTTGGCCACAGGCTTGCCCACAGCTTTGCCTGCAGGTTTGGCGCCGCCCTTGGTAGCCTTGAAGACATTGTTGATAGCGGGGGCGTCTTTCTTGGACTCCTTCTTCGCCTTGCTCTTAGTTGATGCTGCCGCCTTCTTTGGCTGTGCCTTCGGCTTCCTTGCAGGTGCCTTGGTAGCGACTTTGCCGAATAAATCCATCTGCGCATCTGCCTTCCTCTTTGTACCTTTCTTCGAGGGCGTGTCTGGCTCCTCTTTGTTGAACGAGAGTGGAAGTATACGTGGACTTTGTCCAGGTGTGAGCTGCCCTGCGTTGCGGAGCACACCAGGTTTCCGAGGAGTGCCAATGATAACCTCTGCTCTTTGCCTCTCTCTAACCTTGTTTAGATCCTCGTCTGTGACTGTCTTATAGTGCATTGGGTCATCCCATCGCCGCATGTTGGCATAACGGGCGACCTCATCGCAGGGTCCTTTCACTACCAGATCCCACTTGTCCTCGAGATCTTTGCCCATCGGCTCAGGGTCATTGTTCAACCATACTGTGACTCCGTCCTTTCGGTCGCGAACAATATTGCACATCTCGCGAGCTATGCGTCGCACACCAGGAACCTTCAACGTGGTGCCAGCCACGATAACAGCGTCTGGCCTCATGCGCATGTCATAGGACGCACAAGAACCGATAGACTCGTCATCTGGGTTGTGCTCATTGTAGAGCACCATCCGAGGACGTAGGCGACCAATACCGTGACTTCGCTTGTCTGCGAACTGACGAATTTCGTCGTTCTCCACACAGCTCGGGCAGGGTGGCGGGCTGGGTCCCTTGAACTGCTCGGCGTCGAAATCTTTGACTACATGGCATTTGGAGCACACCATGTAATCTAGACCACCATGCACCTGGACAGTCTTTGGCCAAGGCCCCTTCTTAGGTAGGGGAACCTGTGTACTTAGAGGGGGTAGGGAAGTGTCTATGCCGTCGACATTCTGGGTGTAAAGTCGCATTAGACGTCCCTCCTGGGCTAGGGTCGCGAGAAGATGGTGGAAGGCGGTGGGCTCAGCGGCTTTGGTGTGCTGGGATAGTGTGCGCACCATGTCGTGGAATGTCGATGTGGACGTGTCATCCTGGTACACAGACGCATCGAAAAGATCCTTGCCAGAGGACTTGAGCTTGTGCTCCTTCTTGAGCGTATTGAAAAGACCCGTAGCGGATCGGAAGTCGGGAATACCTGCAGAAACTGAGATGCCTGCACCTGCTATCACCACAATCTTGCGCTTTTTGTGCAAAACACTCAGTAGGCGCTGCAACTGTGGTAGCTCTTCTTCTTCCACGCTAGACCCTGAGAGGTCTAGGTACTCTGCCGTACGCTCCTTGGGCTCTGCAGTCTTCCTCCTCTTCGCTGGGCGCGGATTATCGTCGTTGCTGGAAGGTGGAGAAGGCATGTCTTCTGGGGCGGGTGAGGTCTTGGCGGACGAGCGTCGCGAGGAAGACGGGGACATGTATGCACGACGTTGAGCGAAGGATTTGCTAAGCTCGGGCGGTGGAGTGGGCGACCGAGAAAGAATAGAGAGATCTGAATCCGAGATCTCGGTCAAGGGCGAGCTTGGCTCGTTGTTTAGCGTGTTGTATGCCATTGTGAAGGCGCGCGAGGTGAAGAACAACAGGCAGCGGCAGCCGTGTGTCGTGAGGAAGGCTCAACGGTGAGCACAAAGCACCTTGCTCCAGGGACACGACGCGTCTGGTGTTACAGAAGTCCTTGCAGCTTGACGAACGTGGTCGAATCGCGCATTAAATTCAGCTTATTTTTCCCAGGTATGCCGCGTGCTGGAGATGTGTGTGTAGATTGTGGTGGTGGTGTGAAAAGCGTGGGTTGGGGGCTGTCGGTCGTTGCTGCCGTCGCTGCCGTTTGGATCCCCGTAGAGGAAATCCGTCAGATGGAAGAGGTGCGCTAGGCCATTGTGAGGCTCCGAGAAAGCGCGATAATAATAGGACAGGCGCGCGTCCGGGGTAGACGCGTCTGTGGGTGGAGGTGAAGGGGTGGGTGTGAGGTGTAAAGAGGTTGGCGGTGGATGCGATGACGGGCGAACGCTGGTTGACCTGGACAACCATGGGCGCCGGGTAGTCATGCCAAGAAAAGAACCTAAACACTCGACATGTTTACGCTTGCGGCACGTCTGTGCTTGACTGATCGATCGGCAGAATCGTTACATGAACACTCGAGAGCTGTGTGCAAGCCGTAGACATGGAGTATAAAGACAAGTTTTGGAGCAAGTCTCCATCTGTCATGCTTCCATTCGGACGGCACGTTATCATGCTCTCCCAGATGCCGTGACAGCCACGGCGCATGCGACCCCTCCCAAGTTCTTAGGGATCGGCGCAATGCGCTTATTAGACCGTGACAATCCTGACATCGTATAGCGCATGGGAGCGACTCGCATTATGTTTCAAATTCTTGCGATAACCTCCACCGGCATTCTGAGAGCGATGACAGCTCGAGATGACGATTGTGCGCGAAGCTCTCACGAACAGCACACCAGATGGAACCGCGCTAGCCATCGTTAGCTCATCGCTTACTGCCGCGAGCTGATCCCAGACAACCGGAGTGCAGCCTCATCAACCTCTGAGACTCTCCGCGTCCGTCACGGTCTTGAATTTTTGTTTTCCGTTTCCTTGTAGTCTCTGTGATACCCGACGACTTGCTCGTCACCACCTTCGTGTTGCGTCTAGTGCGGCCTTGTTTGCCAAGCTCATTCCCATCTCTTATTCTCGCGACTGCTCTCATCTCTCAATCAACCAGTCGCCTGGCATAGCCATCCCACCAACATGGACGGTGCAAGCTACAACATGGACGTGGATGATCTGTTTGGAGACTCAGAACATGTCAACATACAGACGATCAACACAACGCCGCCTGTCAAAGGGCTCGACGGCCGACTCGACGAGCTTGCGTCTATTGGCTGTTGCCAGTAAGTGGGCCGGGGCAAGTCTACTGCCTTGACTAACAAGTGATAGGAAGATAGCCTGGTCCAAGAATGGCTGTGTTGCGTACATAAATCCAGATGGCTACTCTGTCAACCTAAAGATCTTCTCACGCGACCCTGAATCAGGCAAATGGGATCTCGGAAGAAGCGTCCCTCTCGAGCTACCGCAAGGCCGCGAAGTCTTCCCTTTGACCCATTTGTCATGGAGCCACCTAGGCAATGATCTTGCTGTCACGGATGATGCAGGTCGAGTCATGGTCTTCTCATGCGCCATGGCCTTGGACCGCATGCATTTCACTAGAGCCGAAGTAGCTCAGCCAGAGTCTGAAATAGATGCTGTCGTTGGGATGCATTGGCTAGCCATCCTGCCCTACGCACAGAAGGTATGACTTCTCAGGTATTCAGCAGTGTGGTTCTAATATGCATGTAGAATCTCATCGCTTGGTCAGCTGCGCGAGAAGGAGGCAAATGGAAATGGAACATCAAGCAACACATGTTCAACAACGCTCATCATCCTATAGACGGCAAAGCGTCTTTTGTGTATCTGAAGAGACATGGCGAACTTAGGCTTCGTTTCCAGCAGATTGATAACCACTGGCAAGAGGTTTCTGCCCAGCTTGGGCCTATGATCTCAACCAAGGAGTCATTCACCCATGCAGCATTTGCGTCCAACAATGGTAAATTTCGGTTCAATCCCTGAAGTTACCAGACTAATTCGATACAGACAACACTCTCCTGTTGGCAGCTTATGATGTCAAAAGGCGGTTACACTTGTACCGAGTCGAGACAGTCTGGAATGTGCCGACAGACAAGCGGAGCCAGAATGCAGGCCCCTTCGAAAAGCCATC